GGGCACCCAGGATTTCCAGGTTTATGGATCTTGGGTAGTAGATAGAATATCCCAGGTCGGGGTTCCAGGGGTGTGTCCAGCAGGAGAGTGAGTTTGTGTGTGTATGGGGGTGGGGGGGGGTGAGAAAACCTGGATTTGTGCTGGAAATGGCCCACCTTGATTATCATGCACATTGTAGGGAGAGTGGTCACTTTGGATAAGCTATTACCAGCAGGAGAGTGAGTTTGTGTGTGTGGTTTTTGGAGGGGGGTGAGGGAGTGAGAGAACCTGGATTTATGCAGGAAATGGCCCACCTTGATTATCATACACATTGTGAAGAGAGTGGTCACTTTGGATGGGCTATTACCAGCAGGAGAGTGAGTTTGTGTGGGGGGGGGGCGGAGGGTGAGAAAACGGGAGCAGTATGACTGCTCAGAGCTCCAGTACGAAACTGCAGAAAAACCTGAGTGTCTCTGGATTAAGTTTAGAAGTGTGTGCAACAAGAGTGATGTAGTGGTGGGAGTCTGCTATAGACCACCGGACCAGGGGGATGAGGTAGATGAGGCTTTCTTCCGGCAGCTCACGGAAGCTACTAGATCGCATGCCCTGATTCTCATGGGTGACTTTAATTTTCCTGATATCTGCTGGGAGAGCAATACAGCGGTGCATAGACAATCCAGGAAGTTTTTGGAAAGCGTAGGGGACAATTTCCTGGCGCAAGTGCTAGAGGAGCCAACTAGGGGGGGGCGCTTTGCTTGACCTGCTGCTCACAAACCGGGTAGAATTAGTGGGGGAAGCAAAAGTGGATGGGAATCTGGGAGGCAGTGACCATGAGTTGGTTGAGTTCAGGATCCTGACGCAGGGAAGAAAGGTAAGCAGCACGATACGGACCCTGGACTTCAGGAAAGCAGACTTCGACTCCCTCAGGGAACGGATGGCCAGGATCCCCTGGGGGACTAACTTGAAGGGGAAAGGAGTCCAGGAGAGCTGGCTGTATTTCAAGGAATCCCTGTTGAGGTTACAGGGACAAACCATCCCGATGAGTCGAAAGAATAGTAAATATGGCAGGCGACCAGCTTGGCTTAATGGTGAAATCTTAGCGGATCTTAAACATAAAAAAGAAGCTTACAAGAAGTGGAAGGTTGGACATATGACCAGGGAAGAGTATAAAAATATTGCTCGGGCATGTAGGAATGTTATCAGGAGGGCCAAATAGCACCTGGAGCTGCAGCTAGCCAGAGATGTCAAGAGTAACAAGAAGGGTTTCTTCAGGTATGTTGGCAACAAGAAGAAAGCCAAGGAAAGTGTGGGCCCCTTACTGAATGAGGGAGGCAAACTAGTGACAGAGGATGTGGAAAAAGCTAATGTACTCAATGCTTTTTTTGCCTCTGTTTTCACTAACAAGGTCAGCTCCCAGACTGCTACGCTGGGCATCACAAAATGGGGAAGAGATGGCCAGCCCTCTGTGGAGATAGAGGTGGTTAGGGACTATTTAGAAAAGCTGGACGTGCACAAGTCCATGGGGCCGGACGAGTTGCATCCGAGAGTGCTGAAGGAATTGGCGGCTGTGATTGCAGAGCCATTGGCCATTATCTTTGAAAACTCGTGGCGAACGGGGGAAGTCCCGGATGACTGGAAAAAGGCTAATGTAGTGCCAATCTTTAAAAAAGGGAAGAAGGAGGATCCTGGGAACTACAGGCCAGTCAGCCTCACTTCAGTCCCTGGAAAAATCATGGAGCAGGTCCTCAAAGAATCAATCCTGAAGCACTTGCATGAGAGGAAAGTGATCAGGAACAGCCAGCATGGATTCACCAAGGGAAGGTCATGCCTGACTAATCTAATCGCCTTTTATGATGAGATTACTGGTTCTGTGGATGAAGGGAAAGCAGTGGATGTATTGTTTCTTGACTTTAGCAAAGCTTTTGACACGGTCTCCCACAGTATTCTTGTCAGCAAGTTAAGGAAGTATGGGCTGGATGAATGCACTACAAGGTGGGTAGAAAGCTGGCTAGATTGTCGGGCTCAACGGGTAGTGATCAATGGCTCCATATCTAGTTGGCAGCCGGTATCAAGTGGAGTACCCCAAGGGTCGGTCCTGGGGCCGGTTTTGTTCAATATCTTCATAAATGATCTGGAGGATGGTGTGGATTGCACTCTCAGCAAATTTGCGGATGATACTAAACTGGGAGGAGTGGTAGATATGCTGGAGGGGAGGGATAGGATACAGAAAGACCTAGACAAATTGGAGGATTGGGCCAAAAGAAATCTGATGAGGTTCAATAAGGATAAGTGCAGGGTCCTGCACTTAGGACGGAAGAACCCAATGCACAGCTACAGACTAGGGACCGAATGGCTAGGCAGCAGTTCTGCGGAAAAGGACCTAGGGATGACAGTGGACGAGAAGCTGGATATGAGTCAGCAGTGTGCCCTTGTTGCCAAGAAGGCCAATGGCATTTTGGGATGTATAAGTAGGGGCATAGCGAGCAAATCGAGGGACGTGATCGTTCCCCTCTATTCGACATTGGTGAGGCCTCATCTGGAGTACTGTGTCCAGTTTTGGGCCCCACACTTCAAGAAGGATGTGGATAAATTGGAGAGAGTCCAGCGAAGGGCAACAAAAATGATTAGGGGACTGGAACACATGACTTATGAGGAGAGGCTGAGGGAGCTGGGATTGTTTAGCCTGCAGAAGAGAAGAATGAGGGGGGATTTGATAGCTGCTTTCAACTACCTGAAAGGGGGTTCCAAAGAGGATGGCTCTAGACTGTTCTCAATGGTAGCAGATGACAGAACAAGGAGTAATGGTCTCAAGTTGCAGTGGGGGAGGTTTAGATTGGATATTAGGAAAAACTTTTTCACTAAGAGGGTGGTGAAACACTGGAATGCGTTACCTAGGGAGGTGGTAGAATCTCCTTCCTTAGAGGTTTTTAAGGTCAGGCTTGACAAAGCCCTGGCTGGGATGATTTAACTGGGAATTGGTCCTGCTTTGAGCAGGGGGTTGGACTAGATGACCTTCTGGGGTCCCTTCCAACCCTGATATTCTATGATTCTATGATTGAAAACCTGGATTTGTGCTGGAAATGGCCCAACTTGATGATCACTTTAGATAAGTTATTACCAGCAGGACAGTGGGGTGGGAGGAGGTATTGTTTCATGGTTTCTGTGTGTATATAATGTCTTCTGCATTTTCCATGGTGTGCATCCGATGAAGTGAGCTGTAGCTCACGAAAGCTCATGCTCAAATAAATGGGTTAGTCTCTAAGGTGCCACAAGTACTCCTTTTCTTTTTAGATCTCTATAATATCCCTCACTAAGCCCTGGTCTACACTGGGGCAGGGGATCGATCTAAGTTACGCAACTTCAGCTACTTGAATAACGTAGCTGAAGTCGATATACTTAGACCTACTTACTGCGGTGTCTTCACTACGCTCCCCCCGTCGACTCTGCTTGCGGCACTGGAGTACAGGAGTCGATGAATCAGCGCTCGGGGGTCGATTGCTGCCCACTGATCCGGTGGGTAGTGTTGACATACCCTTAGTTAGTCCTTTTCTAAGCTGAACAGTCCCAGTCTTTTTATCTCTCCTTTATATGGAAGCTGTTTCATACCCCTAATAATTTTTGTTGCCCTTCTCTGTACTTTTTCAAGTTCTAATATACATTTTTTGAGATGGGGCCACCAGAACTGCATTCACTATTCAAGGGATGGGAGTACCATGGTATTATATAGTGGCACTATGATATTTTCTAACATTGCTAGTTTTTTGACTGCCTCTGCACTTTGAGTGAATGTTTTCAGAAAACTATGCACGATGACTCCAAGACCTTTCGGGAGTGGTAACAGCTAGTTTGGACCCTATCATTTTGTATGTATAGTTGGGATTATGTTTTCTAATGTGCATAACTTTTCATTTATCAACATTGAATTTCATCTCCCATTTTCTTGCCGAGTCACCCAGTTTTGTAACTATCTTGAATAATTTTGTATCATCTGCAAAATTTGACACCTCACTGTTTACCCTTTTCCAGATCATTAATGAATATGTTGAACAGCACAGGTCCCAGTACAGATCCTTGGGGGTACCCTGATATTTACCTCTCTTCACTGTGAAAACTGACCATTTATTACTAACCTTTGCTTCCTGTCTTTTGACTAGTTACTGAACCATGAGAGGACCTTCTCTTTGCTTAAGAGCCTTTGGTGAGGGACCTTGTAAAAGGCTTTCTGAAAGGACAAGTACACTATATATTAATTTGATCACCCTTGTCCATGTGCTTGTTGACACCTTCAAAGAATTCTAATAGATTGGTGAGGAATGATTTCCCTTTACAAGAACTGTGTTTGCTCATTCCCAAATTATTATGTTAACATATGTGTCATAATTCTGTTCTTTACTACAGTTTCAACTAATTGGCAAATCTAACTTTAGTACCAAGCAAATCTGTAATTGCCAAGATCACCTCTGGAGATATTTTTTAAAATTTGGGGTTACATTAGCTGTCTTCCAATCGTCTGGTACAGATGTAGATGAAGTACAGTTCACCGCATTTATCAGGACCTGTGTTAGTTTATGGGAATAATTTCAGAAGTTCTAATAGACTGAAAAAGCAGTGATCCATAATAATAGCTGCAGCAGGTAGCAATAATAAGGACAAGTGGGTGCAATTAAGCATATGCATTACATGGACTTGTTTCTCATCATTCCAGAGTGATCTGTGTTGTCAAGTTGAATTTCCTTTAGTCTAGTAGATGAATATTTAGGTCAATTAGTACAAGAGAAGGTTCTTTATTGGACTTGGCCATCTCGTGACTGTAATCACTGTTTTCTACTTGATTTGCCTGCCATTAAAATAAATACTGAGAATGCAAACTCAGTGTCTCATTGTAGAGTGTGTGTGCGAGAGAGAGAGAGAGAGAGAATGACCGAGAGTCCTTACTGGAGGCAATGTGCCTTGCTTTTGACCAAATGAATTTGGAAGACTTCCGATTTTCTGTGCTTGTCCATTTTGCTTGCATTTTACAGAGGGAGGCCAGACGATGGAGGAAGGAGAAGATGCTAAAGACAAAATAAAACACAAGGAGTGGTCTACTGTTTAAATATGCCTTCCAGAGGGAATTTTCTGAAGACTCTCATTTCATACTACTGTAACTGCCTCTGGAGACCAGGTCTATGCCTGAAAGTGAAATAGGCCTTGCGACCTTGATCAAAGCTGTGGAAAAATGTTGCATCGAATGCAATGTAGTTAAGTCAACCTAGCCACACCCACCCCTTGTAATTGCAGCTAGGTTGACGGAAGGATAGCTACTGCATCTCAAGGGGGTGGATTTACTACAGCAATGGAAAACCCCCTTCTGTTGCTGTAGCTAGTGTCTACACTAAAGTGGTATTGGTGCAGCTGTGTCACTGTAGTGCTTGGAGTGTAGACAGGAATTTTCTAGCTCCCGGAACACTGAACTTAGCCTCCGAGATGCTACCCTTTGGACTACAGCAACAGTGGCTCTATAGCCTCCACATACCATCTCCCAGACTGCTTAGGATCTTGGGGTGGGGACAGAATAGACTGGAAAGGCCTACCAAAGCCAGCGGGGAGCACTGGATGGAGTGATTTATATAGGCAATTTGCTAGGCCAATGAGAAGTGAGGGCTGCTCAGTTTAAGGGGGTGGGGATGGGCGAATTCAGGCTGTCTCAGAGACAAAGGGACTCATTCAGATTTCAGTTTCAGGCTGTTTGAGTTTGGAATACTAAAACATCATTGGCATTTCTAAACATTATAGACAACAATTTCCTAACTCAAAAAGCATTGCAGCCACCCTAGTGGAATACTTTATCTTAACAAATAAAGAGGAACTGGTCACCTCTCTGAACCTCAAGGGTTCTTGGCCATAGGCCATTTAACATTTTTGTCAATGATCTGGAAGAAAACATGAAATCATCACTGACAAAGTTAGCAGAAAGCATAAAAAATTGGGGGAGTGGTAAATAATAAAGAGGACAGGTCACTGATTCAGAATGATATGTATCACTTGGTAAACTGGGCACAAGCAAACAATATGCATTTTAATATGCTAGCATAAATGTATACATCTCGGAACAAAGAAGCAGTCCATACTTATAGGATGGAGGACTCTATTCTGGGAAGCAGTGACTCTGAAAAATATTTGGGGGTTGTGGTGGATAATCAGCTGAACATGAACTCCCATTGGGAGGCTGTGGCCAAAAGGGCTAATGTAATTCTGGGATGCATAAACGGGAATCTCGAGTAGGAGTAAAAGTATTATTTTACCTCTGTTTGGCACTGGTGAGACTGCTGCTGGAATACTGTGACCAGTTCTTGTGCCTACAATTCAAGAAGGATGTTGATAAATTGGAGAGAGTTCAGAGAAAATACACAGGAATGATTAAAGGATTAGAAAACATGAAAGAGTTCAATTTATTCAGCATAACAAAAAGCAGGTTAATGGATGACTTGGTTGTAGTCTACATGGGGAACAAATATCTAATTATGGGCTCTTTAATCTAGCAGAAAATTGTATAATAAAATTAATTGAAGCTAGACAAATTTAGACTGGAAATAAGACAAACATTTTTTAACAGTGAGAGTAATTAACCATTGGAACACTTTAACAAGGGTCATGGTGGATTCTCCACTATTGGCAATTTTAAAATCAAGATTGGATGGTTTTCTACAATATCTGCTCTATGAACTATTTTTGCAAAATTCTCTTGCCTGTGTTATGCAGGAGGTGAGACTAGATGATTACAATGGTCCCTTCTGGCCTTGGAATCTATGAATCTATGGAGCAGAGAGAGGAGCAACTGTCAACTCCCATTCCTCACACAAAAGGAGACTTTGAATTATTGTGGGATTTAGTATGTGGTCAAGTTGTGCCAGCCCTTCAAAAACCAGCAATCAGGGAGGCAGAGAACCAATCCACTACTGACTACCTAGAGCCAGCCAAGACCTCCACATGACTCCAGATTAGGGATCCAGGAGAGAAACCGGTCCCAGGGGTGAAGACACAATAAGGGAAGCCCTTTCTTTTTGTCAAGCTGCCCAACATTCACAGTGCTGCAGCACTCATCACAGGATTTATCCTCTGTGCCCCATCTGCCTGTAAAGGTGGTAGGCAGGGAATGGGGGTATATGTGCAGTGGGGAATGTAGGGAGAAGGGGAATTTGTTATATTGTTGATCTAGTATTTTAGTTCATCTTAATCCTTTCTTTACCTAGAGCCTTTGTTTCCTGTCTCCAGTCAAGTCCCCTGTGTTATATTGTTCTAATCTGAGTGTAGCATTTAATTGGCGGGGTATTGTGTTTTGTTATCCATGTGCTGGGTTATATTCCTGGTGAATAGGGAGATGATATTAGTTATTTTCCCAATGGACAGCACCTCTTGTGTCCCAGGCACAGAGAGGAGTCACCTTGCATGGAGGCACCAGGCTGAAATAAAGGACCCAGGACCTAACCCCTGCGAGGAGTGGAGAGAAGCCTCTCTTATTAGTGAGCATGAGGGAAGAAGTTTAAGCCAGGCCTTGTGGGAGGGACTACTCTTGCTGCTAGCATAGACTAGGTACAATCAAAACAAAAGCAATATGTCTGGATACTAGTGAGGACTATTAAACCTAAATTTTGTGTCATTTGTTTGAAGTGCAATCAAATGGGTTATGAGGACACAATACAGTTCAGTACATCTTAAATTTAAAAATTAAAGGTCAAACCACACTCTCAGTCACAAAGATATTTTATTTTTGCTTTCCCCCCCTACTTTTTCTCTCTTACATCTTACCTCGTTAATTTTATAATAGCGAGCAGGTACGTTTGGGAAAATAAGTCCACCACTAAAAGACAAATGCCTAGATTTGTTGCTATGCTTTGGCTGCTTTTTGCTATCCCAGTTGATACAAAACAGCTGTAAACCCATCTTAACCTGCCAGGTAAACTGGGTTTATGGGTGCTTTTGCATCATTAGAGAAATGCAAAACAGCAGGCATGTGCTGCTGAATCTGGCCCAAGGTTTATATTTACCATTTGCTAAAGTATTGTATCCCGCCCCGCCGTTTTATTTCACATTCCCTCCATCCTGTAGAGTTATGCGTTCACAGATAATATGACATTTAGGTGGGGGTACCTCAGCCCACCTCTCCCCTGAGCTTTGCTTTATATCTTATGAGGAAAAAATCACTTTCCCTTCAGATCTTGTCCTTTTCTACTCATTCCTGCTGTATTATAGAACACTCAAGATTGCATAGTAACCTCTATTCAAACTCATTGAAATGTGTCTCTGTGCCTTACCTTGCACCAAGGACAGGCACATAGATCTCCTATTTCCTTCTTCGGTGCACGTAGTTTTCTTTGGAATTGTGCTTCCATCTCTATGTCCAGCTAGCTCCATGGGCTGAAGAAGGGTGTTTGTGTGTGTGAGAGAGACAGACAGAGAGAGATTATAGGTCTGCTCCTTATGTATCCATCTTTGGGTTACTGACACCCCTCAGGAGCTCTAGGAGGAGTGGTTTTCCCAATGCTCTTTTCTTTGTGTAAGGGATGCCTCACCTTAGCTCACCCATACTATAGCCAGGAATAGTCTGGTCCATAATCATTAGTGGGAGCTATTGGACTGAACACTAGAAGCACTTGAGCCCTTGCACAATGTGTACAATTTAGGAACATGAAGTACTCTATCTCTCCCTGCACTATATGGCAAGGGACTTCAATGGAACTCAAAAATCTGTGATGCTCATTCAGCACATCAGTGGGTGCATCGATTCTGAGTGTACTCTTCTCTGGTACTTAGGGCACTAATGTGCATTATTCTCTTCATGCTATCTGTGAACCAGGCACCCCATGTTGGTCACAGATGGGGGATACACAGTCTATACCCAGGGACTTGCCTAGATATGGCCCACGTTTCCCCTGGGTTCATCATCTTCACAATATTTCACCAAAGGGGGACATGTATGGCCCCTGCCAATAGATAAGTACTTGCTGGTTACCATGGCTATTGCAGGATTTATGTACATGAAATATTTTAAGAGTTATGTAACATGTAGACTAATAGAAAAGGAGTACTTGTGGCACCTTAGAGACTAACCAATTTATTTGAGCATGAGCTTTCGTGAGCTACAGCTCACTTCATCAGACTAATGTATTCCAAAGCGGCTGAAAGTTGAGCTGGTCACTTGGAGCAGTGTGGTTCTGAGAGCTAACTCAAGGAAAAGTCAGAATAATTAGCATCTTTTGACCCAGCCCAGGCAAATGTTGACAATCTTGACAAGTTGGAGGCTTGCACCTTTCCAAAACACAAAAGAGCCCGGGAAAAAGATCTCTAATAGGGAACCAGCGGGAAGTGAAGTTAACCAAATGCCCTGGGTATGAAAAAAGACAAAAGGCCGGGAACTGCATAATAGAAAAAATAAGGGTGCAAGATGGCATCTATTATAGAGGTAACACTCAGCCAGTATGAGAGTCTCATGAAAAGTGGATCCCAGCTCTCTTGACTGGACAAGTGCTGTTCAGACTGACGATTGGGTGAGAAAAAAACCTGATTAGGCAGGAAAGGGTCTTGTTAATAATTATAGGCTCTAGATTGCATTTGATATTTTTCTTGTTGCATTTTTTCTTCATGGTTTCTAATCCCTATACTTACTTCTATTTGAATCTTTGTCTTAAGCTTTGTCAAATAAACTTGTCTTTGTTTTTACTATAGACACGACTAAGAGAAGTGTGCTAAGGTTAAACTAAGGCAAAATTAGTGAACTGGCTTTCATGAAAGCAACAAATCTGTGTGCATTGTGGGTGTTCAGAAGTTGAGGGACTGGCACTCGAGTGTAACAAAGTGGGGTGTACTGACAGGTTGGAGGGACCTGTGCCAGAGCAGAACCCTGGGGGCTAACTATCTCCATAGATTTAGCCACAGGTTGTTATCTTTGCTTTGTCCCAGGGACTCACTTAGGGGCCTAAGGACTGGGGTGTACAAATTGCTAGCCTGCAGAGGGAAAGAGCAGAGCTTGTGGATTCCAGCCTGGGGGTGGTTTTGTTGCCAGCAGCTGATAGTTTTGGGGGAGTTTCCAAGGGTGGGCAAACAAGGCTGGTTTGTGTTATAAGCAGATAGTAGCAATTCACCCTGTGCAAGTCATTTAACCTCTCTATGTTCTAGTTTTTCCACCTGTGTAACGGGGATAATAATACTTGTTAGGCTTCATTAATAATTGTAAGTATCTTTTGTGAAACTTTTTTCTTATTACAAAATTTTTCCTGGAAAATTTAAAACATTTTCAGATTTTTCAACAAAGAAGAAAAGCTGGAAATTTTTCATTTTTTTTGTTTTGTTTTTTCCCCCTTTTATCTCCTTCCCCACCTTTTTATTCAGCCAAAGTGGGACCTTAAAAAAATTAATTAATTACAATGGAATATATGGATTTTGCATGGGCGGGGAAAGTGACAGGGTAGGCAGTCCCACACCACCGGATAGGTCTAGCTGCAAGACATGATAGCACAGTAGCCAATGGTCAAAAGGTTACATAACGTCTCCACCCATTGTTTTAATGGTAACAAATTAACATTTGGTATTTAATTAGTACTTTAATAAATGTATTAGAATAGAATATATGTTGAATTTAATTTGTGGTTTATAGGAATGAAGTAGCTCCTTTGATTGTTTCATAGATACATATTTAGGGGTAAAAGCAAAGAAACAGTGAAAGTATATGGCAATAAAGATTGTTTTTTAAGTTGCTTATTTGTGTTTTAAGGCAGGCATTGGTTTCTGGGAAAGGGAGGTGGGAGGAGGCCATATCTTATACTGACATGTTCCAACCTTTTATAAACTCAAGGTTGGATGTGTGGGAAGAACATCTCCCTACAGAAGAAACTAACACAACAAAAACAGGGCTTCTTTATTCTATTTTCAACTTTGAATAAGACACAATTATTGCCCCTAATATTTGGCGTTTTGCTGACCAGACATATTTTAACAAAAACAAGGTTATCTTTGGTTATTCTGCTTTTTCTTAGCTAATCATTATTTGCTAGGCCTCTGACCTCTTGACCAAACTCTGGACTTTGAGCCTGTACACAAATCCATATACCAGGTTATTACATCAACAATGGATTTTAACCCTTCAAGGGGTTAAGAAAAAATGGGGAAAGGGAAACAAACCCCTTTGCTTTCAAAAATCCTTTTAAAAAACAAAAACAAAAAAGAAACTGGAACATTTTTAAATGTTTCCAAAAAGTCATTTAGTTGAAAAAAGTTTCAAATGAAACTTTTCAAATGAAAAAAAAATGTGACTAGCTTTAATAACCTCTGTATCACAAAGCATGGTGAAGTTTGATCAATTAATGTTTGTAAGCGACTATAAAAACATGAAGAGCCATGCAGGAGCTGAATATTATTGCTTAGCAGGTCAAGTAATCTGGGTGCTAGCAGCCATTAGAAATAATTAGGTTCCTTGCTCCCTAAAGAATACTGAAGTTTCAAGGAGAGGAAGATCATTATTTTTGTATATTAACCCTAGAAATGATAAAAATTTTAATTGTTTTTAAAAATCATCCTTTCAAATGTGAAGGAAACTACTGGTATTACCAAAGTGGCTTCTTCTCTGTTTTCCACTCCCTCTGGCTCATTATGAAATGTTTGTAGTCTAGGTCTTCTTTGAGCTGGGATTGCTGGAGGTTTATGGCCTCTGGTGCATGAGTATGATACTTGTCTTTGCTTGAGAGAGTTAGGAGAGTCACGAAGTGTCTGGATTTATGCCTGATGGGTAAAAGAGCTAGTATGGGGAATATCGGGGGAGGAGATGCAATGATAAAAAGCATGGCTGGTCTCATATTCACATGATTATTTTTTATAATTCTTTTTGTATGAATTCAGTGCCTCTGAGTGGTCATTGAAATGAGAGATTAGCAGCATTTGTGTTACTCCAGTGAATACTTGCTTCTGCTAAGCTACTACTTGCAGCTGACTTGGACTAACAGTAATTAATCAGTACTCGGATGCCATCATCTTTATGTACCATATATAATATGAAGGAACACATTTTGTCATGACTGAATTTAATGTGGTTGAGTCAGAAAGGCCTAATTCTGCTCAGTTATGCTGGGGTAAGTAAAGAATAACTCAGTTGAAAGCAATGCAGTTACAGTGTGTGAGAACAGCATCAGATGCATTATTCTCACCTTGGGGAAGGCTTCTAGTGAGTAATCTTATGTATTTAGATTGTAAAATTTTTAGACAGATATTATCTTTTTGTTATATGTGTACAGTGCCTAGCACAAAGGGCTGTGATCCTTTGATTGGGGGCCTCTGTGCACTACTACAATACAAACAAATAATAATGATAGCAGGAAACACTTTCTCTACACTATATTATCTGTAGCCATGCCACCTTGGGCTGTGATCCTGTTAGATCACACAAGATCAGGAGTTGAGCTGAATCAGTATTTAGACGTGACGCCTCCAAGAAGCAGTGATGGCTCTGCAATAAGTGGTGTAGGCGTTTCAGTAGCTGACCCTCTTCCATCAGAGTTCATGCCAATCCAATACCCCAATTTTAGAGGGCACTGCTGCTGGAGATGGAGCCTTTCTGATAAGCACTTATGGTCATTAATGATTCCATGGTCTCATATGTAAAAATAAGATTGTTAACTCTGGTGTCCTGTTTGAGGCCTCTACAAACTATTGCTACCACAAAACAGGTAATTATATTCCACACACTCACACATGGTTTCAACTGGATATGTTGTTCTTCATTTCATGGACTAAAGCTGTTGTGTGCTGTCAAGCAGAAGCCTTGTTCCACCCCAGAGGTGGCTGCATTTAAATGGTGGTTTAGGGATCTCTGTATATCCTTTATCTACCTTCTAAGGATGTTATTTAGTTTAATTAATATTTGTAAAGTGCTTTGTGCTCCTCAGATGACAGTTGATGTGGAAATGCACAGCATTATTATTCCATATCATATGCAGAATTTTTCATACGTGTATATACCATTTCATAAAGTTACTCTTGGCAAAAGCATTCTCTTTGGTTACAATACCACGTGAAGTTGTGCAGTAGCACTAATCAAAACCAATTTGAAGAGGTTAAGGATTTCTTTTGCTAATTGAAAACCATCACTGTTTGACGTGGAGATATTCATTATTCAGACAATTTACTCACACATGACTAATACGGGTTAAGAATTCTCAGTCTTGAAATTTGCAAAAACCTAAAAGGTCAACACCAATCCTAATGCAAAGGAAACAAAGGCTAAAAAGCTGGCACTGCGATTCTAACAGCTGGCAGCCAACTTGTAGATTCTGCTTGACTTGAGAATCTGTCTGCCAGTTCCCTGCAATGCTTCTTAGGTCAGGAAGAACAGACACAATAATTAGAAAAGGGATTTGAGATCTCAGGTCACTACCAGCAGACAAAAGTTTGCCCTTTGATGTGGCTGATTGTGGAAGGGTAGACTGGGGGGAACCTGAAGTGTTATTGCTGCGTTAGTGACTAATTTGTGCAGTTGGAAATCTTGAAGTAGGGTTGCACTCTTTGATATATAAGGGTTTTCTCTGGTTTGGAGAAGCCGGTTTGAGAAAGAGGTGAAAAAAGCACCCAATGACTCATTATTATTACCAATAACTCATTCAATTAGTCAGTCACTTCATTTTATAGACCTCCCTTAGTGCAAGCACCCTTCCAGAGCATTGTACCATCAACTAGAGTTCATGAGCAAAGCACAAGCACAAAATAGAAATCTAAGCAAATGCTCAGACAAGTATATAATACAGAAGATGCAACAGCAGTCAGGGTCTCTCATTCTCAGATACAAAGCTAGATATTTCTAGAGGCAGATTGAGTGGGAGTGGGGTGCACAATTTACCACCACTATTGCAGAGAGCAGCAAATTACAACTCATTGAGACAGCAATGGCATTCCCTCGCCTATGGGTTCTGGTGGGGGAGGGAAGCTTTCATTTGTGGTTGAGATACCATAGAAGTGTCACCAACAGAGATTAACACTACTGCTATTGTTGCAGTATTACAACTGGTTTCAATGAGACTCCACCAAAATCAGGGCCACCTTGTGCTAGGTCCTGTACAATCATACAGTGAGACACAGCCACTGCACCAAAGAGGAAACAGAGGAACAGAAAAGCAAAGTAATTTGCCTGGGGTCACACAACAGTTGAATGGCAGAGCTGGGAATACACACTCAAGGTATGTCTTCATGAACATTTAGTTCATGGCACACCGGGTCTGAATCTACCCTATACTAATGTGCTGCAGACCAGCTATCAATGTGGACTCTGTTGATGTACATTAACAAACTGTTAATGCATTTTAATCTAGTTGTTTCAAAGAGAACCAGATCAAAATGCATGAACAAACTGTTAATGCATGTCAGCGGAGTCTACATGGACCGCTGGTCTGTGGCAGGCTAGTGCAGGGTAGATTCACACCCCAGCTGGCCACAAACTAATTGTTTTTGTAGACAAGCCCTAAGGCTATGTCTACACTATCACTTTTGTTGGTATAACTTATGTCGCTCAGGGGTGTGAAAAAAACCACCCTCCTAAGCGACATAAGTTACACCGACATAAGCAACGGTATGGACAGCGCTATGTCAGTGGGAGAGCTTCTCTTGCCAATGTAGCTATCGCTGCTTGTTGGGGGTGGTTTAATTATGCTGATGGGAGAGCTCTCCCATTGGTACAGCAATGCTGCTGTAAGCTCTCTAGTGTAGACATGGCCTAAGTTTTCTTACTCCTTGCGTAGTGCTCTATCCGCTAGATCATACCGTCTTGATCAGCACATACTCTACCCTATCCTCTGCCTATAGCTCTTTTCAGAAACCTTCCCCCACTCCTCCAGGCACACCTACACTTGTGGTATTATGCTAGCTGGGTTCAGGGTGCCTCTAGGTGGAGTTTCTGCTGTTGGGACCATGAACCTTGAGCTATGATCCACTGGGATTTCTTACACACACATCCATATTCATTCCCCATTATCTCACTTGGTGTTGTAAACTCTACATAGTGTCAGATCTTCCATGGGTGAAAATTGACCTAGCTCCATTGTTGTCATTGAAGGCATGCTTCTTTACAGCTACTGGGGATCTGGCCCATAATATCATCTCCCTTTAATTATTTCTATAATCTACTCATGTCTTCATTATAATTCTGTCTTGTAACAGTCTAACAACTTTTTTTTCCCTTAGATTCTGGCTTTT